AAATAAAAGTACCAAAAATGAGAAGAGTTTACTGCCTGCTCCAATTTTAGCCCAGCAGAGCGATCCTATACCAGAGAAAGTTAAACTAGAACCCTGGTTGATAGAGGAAATGGACAAAAGTATTTTCGATGCATGGGTTAACGGTAGAGAAGATAATTTTGCGCAACTTTTACATTTTATATTATCTGAAAATGTTTCTGTAGATTATCAGCATTCGGAGACTTTTATAACACCGTTGATGGCTGCTGCAGCTAGAGGTTGCATAAACACGACGGAACAACTTCTAAATTTAGGTGCAAATCTTAATTTGAGGTCTGCTAACGATTGGACCGCGTTAGACTGGGCAAAGAGCAGGAATCATACCGAATGTGCTGAATTAATCGAAGCTTACATGAAAACTTACGATTGTGCGGTATCGAATAATGAGTTGGCTCAGGTCACAGAGACGTCGCTCTCCGAGGAAGATAAATTATTACTAGATATATATCATCATACGTTTAATGACGATAATATCGATTATGATTTATTATTAGAATTGGTCCTTTACATTCACATAAAAATGCCTGCCGGCTCTATTTTGATATTTTTACCGGGGTACGATGACATAGTCACAATGAAAGAAAAAATAAATGCGGAGGACAAGAAGATGAATCAAGGTTTACGCTACAATTTGTTCGTTCTTCACTCGAACATGCAGACCTGCGATCAGAAGAAGGTCTTTAAACCTAGTCCTCAGGGCACGCGAAAGATTATACTTTCCACAAATATATCAGAGACCAGCATTACGATCGACGATGTCGTGTACGTCATTGATTCTGGTAAAGTTAAAGAAAAGTCTTTCGATGCTATATCAAGTGTTTGTACATTGACTTCCAACTGGATATCTCAAGCTTGTGCAAAGCAACGGAAAGGTCGAGCGGGTAGATGTAAGAGAGGAATCTGCTATCGTTTGTTCTCTTCGATCCGATACGATTACATGCAGCCTTATCAAACACCTGAAATTCTACGATTACCGCTGCAAGAACTCTGCTTATACACGAAACATTTAACTTCGGGGAACACACCTATAGCCGAATTTCTGGATAAAGCTCTGGAGCCGCCGTCTAATTTGGTAACCAGAAACGCAGTACAATTATTAAAGACAATCGATGCATTAGATCCATGGGAAGATTTAACTGAATTAGGCAGTCATTTACTAGATTTGCCAATTGAACCAAGACTCGGAAAAATGCTCTTATATGCCGTTGTCCTCAAATGTTTGGATCCTATTTTAACGATTGTTTGTAGTTTAGCATACAAGTAGGTATATATATTTAAATAATAATTATAGTAGTTATAAAGTATTATTTATAATTGTTTTTATGTGTGAAACAAATTATTGCAGAGATCCTTTTATATTACCATCACAACCGTCGCAAAAGAGAGCCTTGACAGCGGCACGAAAAAAATTTGCCACCGGAACGTACTCGGATCATATGGTAGTCTTGCGAGCGTTCCAAGGCTGGCAGAATGCCAGAGCAACCGGCAAGGAACGTGCCTTTTGCGAGAAAAATTTCATCTCCGCTCCCGTGATGGAGATGGTAGTTGGAATGCGCACTCAGCTTCTCGGCCAGTTGCGCGCGTCTGGTTTTGTCAGAGCCAGAAGCCCCGGGGACATTCGAGACTTAAATTCGAATTCGGAAAATTGGGCTGTCGTGAAAGCGGCTCTAACCGCAGGCTTGTATCCTAACTTAATTCGAGTTGATCGGGAGCACATGCAACTACGAACACAGTATGTACAATTATTATATTCAAGAAGTTTGAATGATTTGTTGATACTGTACAATATTGACATTCTGTCACAGGAAAGAGGTCAAGGTATTCTTTCATCCCTCGTCAACGTTAAGAGATTATCCGAAGTCTTCGAGGATGACGTCCACTCAAACGCATTCCACCAATGTGCAATCCTTACCTTGCGACTGGTTGCTTTATGAGGAAATGAGTCGTACAGGACGTTTCTGTCACGTGAAAGTTGTTACAGTTGTAAATCCATTAACTGTAGCATTATTTAGTGGACCAGCTAGATTACCAATGGATGTAATCTACGAAGCTGAAGGTAAGCAACTTCACATATGCGCTTAGCATATTTTTTTTTTATAACGTAAAACATATTTGTGTGCACAAAAATATTGCTACTATGTTTGCAGCTGTACCGGAAAGCGAATCGGATTCAGAAGTTGATGAATTTCACGAAGGAACCATTTTTAAACTTGATGATTGGGTGGTATTTAAACTTGACCCTGAAACGGCTCAACTATTTTTACATTTGCGGCAGAAGTGGAACGCGTTGTTCCTTAGACGTATGAAAGCACCAAACAAGGCAATGTCGGGGTTAGACGAGAAAGTCATTAACACTTTGGTAACTGTAATCACGAATGAGGAACAAGCGTGTGGCCTCCAGCAGCCCACTGGCATTGGTCAACGTCCGCGTCCATTAATCGTCGATTATTATCCCGCAAATGTTAGAAGAGACGATTATCCGGAAGTAAGTTCATAGCATTTAGTTAATGCTACTTCTGTGCATAATTTATTCAAATGAGTATTAACGTAATCTATGCATTTTTAGAGATATTTCTAAAGCAAGAAGAGGAAATGTAGTCTATTATATGCAATATGCAGTCTGTTTTTTTGGTTATTAATTTCAACGACCAATTATTGTATCTATAATGCTGTAGCTAAATCATTTGTGGTGATAGCGAATATTTATAAAAGATATATAGTGTCGTATTTATGGATATTTATTGCATGTATGAGTGTTTCATATAAATATTATACATTCTAATTTGCAGTATTGAGAAAGACTGTTGTGATATAATAAGTTTTTTGGTAGTACTCGTATAATACCTGTGATTCTCTTTGCAGAATTTTCGTTAGAGTAGCAACATTTAAGTTTTACTCTTATCTTTAAGAGATAGGATATTTTTTAATTCTTCATTAGAAAAATGGTGAAATACAGATAAAAGATAGATATGATCAATCATCAAGATCGATATATCTATCTTTCTTAAGGTAATATGTAACTTTTAGCAACGGGTCCGTTCTATCAGTGTAAATTTGCGGATGTAAAATCATACCAAAATTATACACAAATTTGCAACATTCGGAAATGTGTATGAGTATTTTAATCTGATCTTTTTTTCTTCTGGAAATATGTAAATAGACCTTAAACCTATGTATGTCATAAGAATATGTGATATGTGTCATGTAGGTACTAAACTCTAACTTAACTTTTGTACTATGTATAATTTATGTCATATTTTGAACGCTCTCTCAATAGCTGCCATAAATTAAGTAGGCAATTACATAATGAGGGAGAGAGACTGTGGAATAATTCTTCATTATTACGCGCTATAGAGTAGCATTTTCTTGCAAAGTTTTACATAGAAGTTTTTATTATTGTTTAAAGAATAGAATTAGCGATACTCTTTTTTTTGTACATGTGTGACATTTTGTACATGTGCAAGCAAATTTGTGTACACTTACTATTAGCAGCTATTGAATGCTTGCTTAATGAATATTAATTAAAATTTAATATGTATCGTGATGTATAAAGGAGCGTATGGTCTATAAATTTGTCAGTAAATGTTTTATTTTAATTTTGTGATTTTATTAGTGTTATAATTTTTAGTAATTATATATACATGGTTAAGTAAATATTGACCATAAAGCTGTAACAGATAGCATCACAGAGCGAGCTTTCAAATGAGTTGTAATGCTGGCCAATGTGATAACAAAACATATAATAAAAAATTTAGCAAAAAAAAACAAGAATATATTAATATGATTCTCTTTTATTTGTGGATCTTCATTATGATTGATTTGATAAACTTTGATCGCTCTATTCCACGTAACATACACGGTGATTATAATTATTAATTATATGTTCATGTTTCAAGGTATCTAAAGCCCCATATAAATAAGAATATTATATAAATATAACTTTTATAAGTTGCATAATTTAAAAAACCAAAAAATTTTCTTATAATTTTCTTTTCTATACTGTGAGAGAAAAATACTGTATTAAATATATTGTAATATTTGTTTAAATAGTGCCGGTTAAACTGGTATTTAGTATTTAAATATATATACATTTATTTTTTTTATATAAGAACTATTAATTTGATTTAATTATAAGTTTTTTTTTAAGTGAATATTTATTTTCTGCAAATTATAAATGTTATATCAGTGTTATTCAAACAATTTATTTGTTAAGATTTAGAATATTTTTCATTCAGCGTATTTTGGACTTTAGACTCATGTTCTGAAGTATTGACATGCATGTTAAAGTCATCCTGTGCAATGTGTACTGATGCGTCATAAAATGTAACAAAAATTCTCTCTGTATATTATACTCACTATTATAATATATATTTCTAGTGAGATTATTAAAAAAAAAAGCTGCGTATCAAGTTGTTTTGAAGTTTCGATGATCTACGAGAGCCGTCAATATCAAATTCCATGGATAAAATAAAACATTAATTCCGTCAAGTGTTTATATACGGTTTTTTCCTACATACTTATTGATTCATAGTTACGTTAAAATCATTATTTTAATCGTAATATCAAAAAAAATGTATAAAATGTGCTCTAATAAATAAAAAAAAAAACATAAAAAGCAGCGTTGCGCACACGCGTGTGACGCACGTGTTGAGTCAGATCGCATTGTCATTCATGCAATCTCAACCACGTGATCACTCAGCGATCTTGGTTATGTCTTTAAATTACTTGACGACGTGTGGTCGAGTGAATACGATACGTAGATCTTTTTTTCATTTAAAGTGCAGAAAATAATAATACTTTCGAGATTTAACTAATGGTTTTCGAGTGTGTGATTATTTCGGGACACTTTGCGCGGCGTCTCATAAAACGCTCGTCATCTGTTCCGTTTAAATCGCGTTTGATAATCGCCGCCGCGGATTGTCGATAGCATGATTTAAAAAAATCTGAGACGCCGCTTTGAAATGTTATCTGTCCTTCGGAATTCTCGCCGTCTGTCAATAGCAGATCGAATTTTGGAGCGATCTGGTAGATTCTGGCCTAACCTGTCATCCCTTGTACGCTGTAAATCAGGTGAGTTCCCGATGACTAACTTTACTTGATGATTTGCTACTGTTTTATTTTTCTTTTCGACAATGCGTGTCAGATTAATTATTTAATGTTTTTTATTTGTTTTTTATTAGAGAATGTAGTCGTCACTATTGCTAACGTGTCGAAAGAAGTGAGGCCAGCAAACAATCCAGAATACGTTCCAAGAAAATACTGTTAGTATTGCATTTTGTTGCTAATTAATAAGATTGTAGTTACCTGGTAAATATCAAGTAACAGTGACATTATACACTATAAGTTGACTATTATGATGTCCTATTCAATAATATAAGTGAAATGTAACACACGTTGTATGTAATATTAGATCTACTGTTGTTTATTTTTGAGTATCGATTGTGTAATAACTTTTTTCTTAGGATAAAAACGTAAAAAATGAAAATTATATATATATATATATATATTCTCTCTAAAGCTTTTAGAGTGAAGATGTAAGAATGAGATTTCTCTCTTCAAAATAAACATTGAAGAGAGAAATCTCACTCTTAAAGATTGAAAATTAATCCTCTCTTTTTTAAGACTGGCCCAATTTTCATTCTCTAGAACCTATTTAAAAAAAATTAGAGAATATGTGTATGTACATATTGTACATATAGTAAAATGTTCACTTTCCACGGTTCCATTCTGGAGAAAAAGATATATGATCTAACTTTGCACTAGATTGCATCAGTACTTTTTTCTCGCATTCGCTAAATATTCAATATCCCAATCGACACAAACTAGAAGCAGCATTACATCATGTTATAATTTTGCATTTACAATAATACAACTGTAATATAACACATGGTGTTACATAACAATTATATTGTAGAGTGTGAAATTATAATATTGATATTGTGTTACTTTTAGTTCGCATCGATTAAGATATATATCTATTTCACTTTAAGTTCCAAAAGTATATATTAGTTTAGCTAGAAAATAGACCAATTTTTTAGTAAGAAATTATTATTAATTTTAAAATTATAATATCGATATACTATTAATATTTACTGGGTAACAAATTGTTAAGGATTCAATTTAATTCTCTACTATTTTATTTTTTAACAGTATTAAATACTCACTCTCAGGAGTCGCTGAGGCATTTGAAATGGATGCTCCAGAAGGACGTTTTGCGACAGGACATGTTCTTGATGGGCGGACCGGGTATAAGGAGACGCGAGCTCGCACTCGCCTTCCTAGAGTTAACTGGACGAGAACTAGAATTCATCGCGCTTACTCGCGACACGACAGAAGCAGACTTGAAGCAGAGGAGAGAGATCAAAAGCGGTACCGCTTATTATCACGATCAGAGTGCGGTGAGGGCTGCGACCAACGGGCGAGTTCTCTTGATCGAGGGTGTGGAGAAAGCAGAACGAAACGTGTTACCAGTGTTAAACAATTTATTAGAGAATCGCGAGATGCATTTAGAAGATGGTAGATTTCTTATTCCGGCATCTCGCTATGATAAATTACTGAAGGTATGAATCTATCTGTGACTTACGTAGAATTCCGTGCATAGACAATACGAAATCTAATATTGGGACACAAAATATCTAAAGTCAATATACAATTCATAGATCTTGTTTCAAGGCTGTCTTAAGATGCTATAAATCAATCACAGAGTCATATTATTTTCCTAAGACGTTATTTAAGACGGTCATGAAATAAAAATTATCATTATTAGATATGAATCTCCTTCTAATGATTAGTTTAAAACTGTACTTAATGTGATCTCTTAAATATGAAAAAGAACTACGAATACCAGTTTATACAAAATACCTTTTAAACGATTCTCGCAAAGATGTCTTTAAGACGTTTTTTTAGAAGTTTTATGAAACATTGTTATGTCTTAATTTTAGACTTTTGTGCTGAGTGAACTTATGCCTAAGACTGATCTCTATTATTTGTAAATAATATGCGGGGAATTTATTTGCAGATGCATACTCAGGCGGAGTTGGACAAGTGGCGTCTCATACGAGTCAGTGAAGATTTTATAGTAATAGCGCTGGGTTTACCATCACCGCGATATCCTGGTCATCCTTTAGATCCACCTCTCAGATCTAGGTTCCAGGCTCGTCACATTCCGCCTCCGACATTCGAGGTAAGTATATTCAAGCGCGCGTGATATTAAAAAAGATTAATGATATCGGTGAGCCAGAGAGAGCAATTAACCGAATAAATAGATTTTGTGTATATCCTTCTGCGTTAAAATATTGAACGTTACACGGAGCGTATATCAGTCTTACCTCGGTCTTACCGTTTCGGAATATTATCGCGCGCTATAGCGAATCGAAGTAACGTTTAGAAAAGTCATTAAACAAGTTTCTGATTGTATAGCGATGCGGCTTCATCAAAACTTCGTCGCGGAAATTCGCGATCGTATTCATACGATTGCCTGACTCATTATTAAAATTACCCCTTCCCGACAATTAAGGGACATAAGCCTGATTTATGTCTCAATTATGCTCTCAGTCGTTCGACTATCAGATATAACTGTTATAAAAGTACGAGAAAAGCAACAATTTGATAATTCAGCAGGGTTTTTGAGGGAATGTCGTATGTAAAACTATCCGCTCGCGCGCGTCTCGAAGGGAACGGTCGCGCGCGCGGTATAACTCGCGAAACTTCCCGTCTGATTTATGGGGCCGGGAGTGGCGTACCATTAGGCATGGGGTGCGGAGGTCACACGAAACCCCCTCCGTAGGTACCGTCCCATCCCTTCCTTCCGGTACTCCTGTCGTTCGCATATAAACGCGGGCTCGTGGCTGCGCTATGGTCACAGGCACCCGCGCGGCTTGGATCGCGTGTCCCAAGCAGTCGAATTTCGAAACTCTACCTATCCTCCCGTGCTCGCCCGCGAGTCGATACGTCGGGATTCAAACGGGAGCTTAAAGGAGGGAACGCGAAGCCGTCGATTCTCCAAACCCTGACGCAGTTCGACAGCATAGTAATGTCAATTGTCGTGACGACACGAATATAATTACAGATTACGTCCTCCGCTTTTTTGTTTGAAATTTTTCCCGAGACGGTGCTGTGACAATGTCATCCGTGGAATATACGTACCCTCGTTTATTTATTATTAAGGGACATTGAGAGATGCCTCAACTATCGAGCGTTAATCTGTCGTTTTTTACTATTGCCAATTTATAATTCCGAAAAACACGTTATATAAATGATAAATGATGATAAACTGCAGATATTAAATGTTAAATTTATAACGTTATTTATTGCGCAGTGTTAGGGTATAACATTATTGAATCCTGAAATAAAATTGAGCGCCAAGTTTTTTTTATCGGACCTTGAAACGTTATTTGCCGCTCGAGATAATTATTAATACCTTTGCGCATACGCCGTATCGCGTTATGCCGGCTATATGGGCATCATCGGAGAGGCCTTTATTCGTCCGAACTGTCTGGGTGGACGGTATGCGTCACGCTGTCCTGACACCCGACGATCCCGTCGTTAATTCACGGCTACGTCGACATCCACGAACGTCATCCATGGAGAAGAGTTTCCCCACGAAACATCAACAGGTCGAGACCAGACTAGATCGCTTGAGCAACTGCTTCATGAATCTGCACGTAGTAGTGGAGAAGAATTTCCCAGAGAACAAGATCCCAGCGAGGATCGTACGCAGACAATCGGCTCCACCTTGCACGAGGATGTGCAACGAAAAAACCGGGGGTCTCCTGAAGATTTACGTAAACGACGTCGACAAGTTGGACGAAGATCGCGAAAATTATGAAACGTTAGGAAACGAAGAAACGACATTTCCGACAAACGAGAGTTTTGATTACAGTAGCAGCGTCGGGCAATCGTTGCACTTGCAGCGAGACGTGTTCTCCGTTATGACGGAATGCAAACAAACTGATAGATCATCCGACGCGCATTGTAATCCGCTGTCCGAGAGGGTGTTACAATGGCTGAATCTTTCCGGAAGGGCACAGGATTACGAGCTTGAGACGGAAGAGAATCCGAGAGTTCAAGAACATCGCCGGTGGGGTGTCACCAGGAGGAGAAGGCGGCACCTCTCACAGACGCGCGAGGGTTCGGTGATTACAGAGAAAGAGCGCATAGTTGTGCAAAATTATAAACTGCAGAAGAATTTTAAGTTGGAGTGCGAGACGAAGTTTACGCGGGGACGGTTATCCAGGATGAAAGATAAGACGGAAGAGGACGGAGTTCGGCAGGAAGAGAGCATCGATTTGAAAGAACGAACTCCGATTATGCAGGAGGAAAATTTGAGCAATGAAGACGAATCTCGGGACGATCGATCAGCCGCGTGGTCTCCGTCTGGCCGTTTGCAGCTGCACATTGTCATGCCGAACTTCAGCTCCGTTGAGAAACGGGCATCCTCGCTAGAATCTCTTGCCTGCGATTGAACGATAGACTGTCAGTCAAACGCACGTTCCCATTTTCGTGTGTCATTGTTCCATCTGCGTCCGACATTCTTTTCATCGTCAGTACCTCGATACCGTGTTGTGAGTTTTTATTTGTTAGCGCGAAGGGGAAAAGAAGCGAACATTTATGGTCAATGATATTTGATAAACAATTTATATACTCATTTTTTTTAAATGACAACGTGCAATTATTATTTACAAAGACATGTATTTTACGAGGTTTTGAAATATGAAACAATATATGCTAGTAGTTTCGCGCTGTAATGCGTATTTTTGACAGATGCTGCAGAAAGGTAAAGTATTTATTAAATTAATTATGCAAAATTATAAAGTTTTTAATAAATAAGTTTGAAATATAATATATCTACAATTTTTAAATGCAGAAAAATGTTTGATGGTCAAAACTTTTGAATCATTTTATATTGTACAATACAGGCTTATTATAAAAACTTTCAGTTAATTTTTTTTCTTACATTTCTTTATTATTTAATATTAGGTCATTACAGAAATCTTGGCACTTTTTTAAGAGATGGATTCAAGTAGCTGTAACTTCATTAAAATAAACGAAATTTAAATTTAAAAAATTATTTTGAGCTTAAAACCTTTATTTTTGAAAAATCATTACATCTTTTGAGTTTTTATGAATTCGATTATTTAAAAAGAGAAAACTACAAGATGGACAAAATGAGAAATTTTCTTTTCACTTTGTGAGTCTATCACAAGCCTAAAAAAAATTTACAAAAATTTTCGATTTTTAATGTACAAACTTAAAAAGTTTTTTTCCTAACAAAATTGTTTTTTTTTAAATGTACTTAAGAATTTTTGTTATTAAATTATTCGTATTAAATAAAAAGGATTAATAAAACATTTTAATCTTAATTGCTCACAATTTTGTTAAAAATCGTTGCGTATTGCAATTAAAAAAACAGATTTTTAAAGCTGAAACTTTGTTTTATAGAATAATATAATTACCAACATTTCTTAAAAATATGTAGACATGATGCAAATGAAGTATCTCTCCAAAAAGTGTCAAAACTTTTGAAATGATTCAATATTTAACAAATGACGTAAAATTTGCACAAGATATTCTCTTTCTTTCTAACTACAATTTTGCAATATAACTCGACATTCTGGGATAGATAGCGTTTTCGTTGAGAATTAATCCGGAGCCCCGTGTCGCAAACTCGTTATTGTCTGTTGAGAGAGAATTGCAGTCGACGGAGACATCGCCTTGTTTTACGTCGGTCGGAAACTGAATAGAACTCAGTTAATAATAAACTCATATAAAAGATCATTTAAAACTTCAAAATAATTACACGGCTTGGAGTATTTAAACCATTTCTCATGAAAGGAATATTATCTGTCACGAAGCGTAGTATACATATTGCTTGTCCGTAGAAATTGCTGTCACGCGCAGAAATGAATCTAAAGACACATATGTCAGAGAATTTATAGATAATTTATAGATATATTTTAATAAAAATTAAAATAATGAATAATTTAAATAATCAAAATTGAGAAGAAAAAAGGACTTTTTTATACAAAAATAAAACATTGAAAAAATGACATTGTAAGAGTCAATAAAATTAAATAATGATTAAGATTATGACGCAATTTGTTTTCGTAAGTATATGTAGCTTATTTGCAAAAACTTCTAAAAATCTTTTTAAAAATTCAAGGAATTACATTACAGATATAAAGTTATGAATGTTATAATCATAAAAAGGATATGACTTTATCCTTTTTTTTAAAAAGAAATAAAGTGTAAAAACGAAAATTAATGAAAGTGTAGGCGTGGTAATTGGAACGCTAATTCACTTTTGTAAAAATGATCTTCATTCAAAATAGTTGAGTAAACCATTAAAGACCATTTTTATACAATCGAATTAGCACTCCAATTACGCCTGCACTCTCAATAGCCTTCCTTTTTTATACGCTTTATTTCTTTTAGACTTTTTTCCCGAGAGTTTTACAGAGTTCTTTTAAAGTTTTTACTTTTTCTTTTTTATTGTATTTTACTTTAAACAGAAATACGAAGAATTGTATGTCTTTTTATCATATATTTATATATTAATTAAATCTTATAATTTATATAATTACATATATTATATACGTGTAATGTTATTTGGATTAGATCGGAGTTAGGCTTTGCGTTTTATATGGATTATATGTTGCTCGTGACTTCGTTGACTTATGTGCCACCTTCGCAAAACTACTGGCAGTCGCTACAATGGCGAACGAAAATAATAGAGCAGCGTGTTTAGCACAAGACAGCTTTATAATATACCCGACGCCTATTTTCGGAGCAATAAAACTTGGTAGAGAAATGTGCAGACATCTATTTTCTACATATACGGCGTCATCGTTTAATAATCAATCATCGCGAAAGTCGGCGCATTAAAATGAAAGTTTGACTTTACAGCTGATGGATGTCCTTCGGAAAAATGTTGCCGTAATTTAAGTCTGACCTCCATTCGCGGTTATTATTTATACAAGTGGTAGATGCATGACTACTTGATCTTACACAGCAATTTATGGCAATCAGAAATTTCTTAAATGTACATACACCGCAAAGTTATTACATTTCTGCAATGTTAAGTCTAAAGTTACAAATATGCCACTGTTGAAACAATAGCAATCTTTTATCCGATAGTTGATCTCCAATGCGAGTGCATTGAACTATGGAAATTGCTGGAAATGGGGAATCGCGTGTTTGCGAAATAACCGGTTAATGTCCTGATAGCCCGGTGACACATCTCTGAAAGAAGACTGCGAACTTTTCCGAGATCGGGCTTCACGTTAAGCTTGTAATTTAATCGCGACGATATCCCGCTGTCGTCGGTTATTTATTATTTGTCCGTCTCGGAATTGGCGCAATGTGCGTTTGATAACCGGCGGAACCGTGCGATGTGCGTATAATAATCGAACGTGGTGTCGATGGAGTTACGGGACGTTTCGGCGAAATTGATTCTCCATTTCTTCTATTTTTGTGGTGAGTGTCGGGGACGAGTCACGAAAACCACATTTCCGCCAACGCCGCAATTACAGCCGATCGAGGGCTCGAGATTATAACCCGGGCCGATTGAAAGTTTTCGATGGAAATTCTGAGGGTGGGCGGATATCTCGCTTCCGTGCCGAGTGGTAGTTATTCACTCGGTGCTCGTGCGCGCAATGTTGGAAAGCTCTCGGTGTTAATCACTCTCTCGGAAGGAGGACCGTTTCGTACCGAATCGCGGTATATAACATTCCTCCTCACGTGCACGTTTCCGCCGGGGTTCCTCTCTGTCTCTCTATTTCTCTCCCTCTCCCTTGAATGCCAACTATGTCGACGAAGGCAGAGAAGTAATGGGAAGATAACTCTGCACCGAATTCGAGTAGTTCAACGCACCGCAGATAGACGTTAAGTAACGTTAAATATATTACGCCCCCTATATAACAGCCCTGTAAACTTTCCTATAGTTGAGAACTTTCATCGGCTGAGTGACTACTGCAATGCTCGAGCGCGAAATGTTATCAGACTGTTATCAGTTCCTCACGAGCGTGTAATTATATAATATTAATTATAATTCTATATTAAGCATAAATTCTTTACGTTTGCTTAATGATCGAAAACTCAATCGTTTCTTCTGACCGAGTTTTAATGTAGAAGCATCATCGTATTTGTTTGATATAATGTCCATACCTTCGTTCTGTAGAAAATGAAAAGCTACAGTAGTACTCTCTAAAACTTTTAGAACAAATGTCACTCTAAAGAATGAAATCTTACTCTTAAAGATTGAAATTAAGTCCTTTTCAAGACTGGCTTAACTTTCATTCTTTAGAGTGAGATTCCACTCCGAAGAATTTAGAGAGTACGTTAGATAATTTATTCAAATGTTAACATATATTTGTTTGAGGATGTCAAGGTACCATATATCAAGATTTAATTTTTAAGGAACAACTCGAGGGCTTGAGAAACTTAGCGCCTAATGTCGATGCTGGGAAATTGTCGCAATTATTATCATGTGCTCACGCATTGGTTACCCCAGAAGCTGTCACCATAGGTCTGCCAGATTTTCCTTTGGACAATTTGTCGTCGGCCGCTTTTATTATGGTAAATTTCTAGCTCTAGTATCGATACTGCGGGCGCTTTGTCATCATTTTTATATTAATTTCGCGTGTTTGTACGTAGGACAAAAGCCCAGACTTGTCAGTCTACGACGTTTTCTATAGATTTTATCCGTACAAACTATTTTTGGGTAAGGAGGGTCAGAATGCTGTCGAGGATATCCTTGGAACATTTAACGTATTGAACGATTCTAGAACGAAGCGTACTGTTACTAGTAAAGTAGACGCTACCAAGAAGGCTGACGATCTCTTAGCGATTAGCATAAAACGCGATAACACAAAAACAAGTTTTCATGTAAGTGATAAATAATTATTCGGTTGCATTCCTATATTAATAGACTACGTTCAACAGAAAAAGCAGCTTTTCCATTATTGTAAAATTCTTTCGTATGATTGGTTTTGCTCTTATGGTTATTTAATGGATCTAAATGTATAAACTAATTATATTAAAAAATCAACAGATGCAAAGCTGTTTTTTCTACTGAACGCAACCATTGATAGCTGCTAAGTATTTGATTCTGCGAATAGGTTCCCTGCGGCACGAGTCAATTATCTAACGCGAACAATGATCATTATATAGAGACTAATTATCAAAATAACTTGCTGGCGAATATGCTGGAATCCCATTTGACGTCTGATTTTTGTTTGATCGGACCGAAAGGCTGCGGCAAGTCCACCACTATCCGACGACTCGCCGATTTATTAGGTTATCAAGTGGAGCCAATAGTGCTTTATCAGGCAAGTCTCAGGCTTTTTTCGTGAAAGTGACGTGTTAGTTTCCAATTGGTATTCTCTTTTCTCTGAGAAAAGCAGAAAACGACACAACTCCAAGCTTCAATTTAAAAAAATCACTTGCGACTATGACTGCGGTGGTGGTAGTTTGTTCGAGAAATGAAACGGTTATATTTTCTTAGGATATGACTTCCAGGGATCTGATACAACAACGAACTACGTCGCTTAATGGCGACACGATGTGGAGAGATTCGCCGCTGGTCGACGCAGCTCTGCATGGCAAACTGGCCGTGCTGGATGGCATCAACAGGATTCATTCCAGTACCTTAGCTATATTGCACAGGTAATCGCGGCATTTAACAGACCTCAAGTAACGATAAATGTAACGTAACGCCTGCGTTTGCCCTTAGATTAGTCCACGATCGGGAGTTGCAATTGCACGACGGTAAGCGGCTCATTCGCGCCGATCGTTACGATGAAATAAAGAAAGAGTACAACAGATCCGACGAGGAAATGCGCGATTGCGGTGTTCTGCGAATTCATCCCGCCTTCAGGTTAATAGCCTTGGCCGAACCACCGATCGTCAATAGCTCATCCGGCCAATGGTTGAATTCTGAATTACTTAGTTTGTTCCTCTTCCACGAGATGAGGCCGCTCGACAAGCGCGAGGAGATTCATATTATTCGGTCGAAGGTGATCGGAGTGGAGTTTACAGTGTCGACGTATCTTTAATCGTGGATAAATTCTCATCGAGTACTCTGTTGCAGTTTGGAGAACCCAGCCAAGCGTTATTGAGTATCGTCGAATTAGCGCATGTTTTACGTTCATCCAACGATCCGACCCTACAGTCTCTCGCTGGGTCGCTCAGCACCCGGCAGCTTCTGCGAATCGCGGAGCGAATGCACCGGTTCCAATGTGACGACGTTTACAACGCGGTGCAACGCGCGTGTCTAGCGCGCTTCTTGCCGACGATTGCGAAAGAGGCTCTCGAGGACTCCTGCCGTCGTCTTGACATTATTTCGCAGAAAACCACGGCAGATTCGATGATCGAGTATTCTGTTACGAAAGACTCCGTGAGGATCGGTAACACCGTCGCGGATCGGTATCTCACTGCGGCGCTCAGTAAAGTACCTGACATTCTGTTCTATGATGTTCCGGAACATGTTGCGCTCTTAGAGAGGCTGCTGCAAGACTTCAGTCTGGGACAGAATCTTCTGCTTGTCGGCAATCAGGGTGTCGGTAAGAACAAGGTCGTAGATCGGCTGCTGCAGCTGCTGAACAGGCCGCGCGAATACATTCAGCTGCACCGCGACACGACCGTACAGACTTTGACCCTGCAGCCAATGGTCAGGGACGGTAAAGTCGTTTACGAGGACTCGCCACTTGTGCAGGCCGTTAAACTGGGCCACGTCCTTGTCGTCGATGAGGCAGACAAAGCACCCACGCACGTGACATGTATATTGAAAGTACGTACTCGACGATAGCACAGCTATTATGACGTGAACATTTTGTCGGTCATGAATTGCGAGACAATCCTGTCATTTTCAGACTCTGGTAGAATCGGGTGAAATGATTCTGTCGGATGGTAGACGAATTGTTCCCCATGTCAGCGGCAACGCCCCCAACGCAAACAACATACCTATGCATCCAGACTTTAGAATGATCGTGTTAGCGAATAGACCGGGCTTCCCGTTTTTGGGCAATGACTTTTTCGGCGCTCTGGGAGATCTATTCAGCACGCATTCTGTCGACAATCCGAGTATACAAAGCGAGATTCAGCTCCTGAAACAATACGGTCCGCACATAGACGATCGGACGATACATAAATTAGTGAAAGCTTTCGGTGAGCTGAGAAGTATGGCCGATCAAGGTTTAGTCTCGTATCCGTACTCGACTCGAGAAGTTGTTAATATAGTTAAACATTTAGAGGTGAGCTAATATAAGAATTTTTTTAGAACAATCCCAGTCAACAACAACTAAAAATAATATAACGTCGATGTTATAATTTCGCTCTTAACAATATAAATATAATATAATACATGATATTATATTACATTTATATTGTTGGTATTATATAGCAGTTACATGAGTGTGAAATTATAACATTGATGATATATTACTTTTAATTGATGTTGACTCGAATACATCGATGGTAGTGTAATTCTGTGATAATACACTTTTAATTGTAGAAATTTCCAAACGAGCCGTTGGGCACTGTAGTACGCAATGTCTTCGATTTTGATCGATATAGCCAGGAAATATTCGACACTTTGGTAACCGTGCTTCATAAGCATGGGATTCCTGTTGGAACGAGTCCAACCAATATTGCCTTAGCTAAGGAGTAAGATACTCTTTTCTTTAACAAATTTTACAAGATATTTATGCATCAAGTAGATATATAAGTATTAGACAAATATAATGAATTTGTACAATTTTGTAATGTATTTTATTAATTTTATGATCTACAATGAATTTATTGTTATACGTAATAAATAAGAATACAAAGAAAATAAAGATATGTGAGATAATAATTTTCGTATACACGCGCACAATGTTCTTTCCCCTTTTCCATTACAGAATATCTTTGCCTGAGATGAAGATCTGCGGTAGTTGGAATGTTCTAAGCACGTTCCAAAATATACCTGTTCAGGAAAGATACATTAAGTTGAAACCACCAACATTTCCGGCGCAAAACGATCGAACTCTAGATCGAATCGAAGCCAGATCGGCCTGGTTCACGGAACTCCAAAGTTACTGGACAATACCCATTAGCGAGAACAGCACAGTGACCGCTTTAGCGGTCGCGAATGGAAGTAAAGGGGATGGCACGGATGACAGGATATACGCTCTCACATCGAATCCTTTGAGTATATTTAGTATGACGCCGGAGTCTGAGCAGATTCGCGAAACGTCCTTGCAAGGCTTAATTAGCCCTGTCAGGGGCAATATGCCGTTTTACAACGTCGCGGTTGACAATCTCGGGAACGTTTTAATTCACGAAGAAACTGTAAGTAATACATTAGTAATACCAATCGCTTCTGTTCGCGATAGCATTCATTGTATTTGATCGATTTTAGAGCAATTCTATACTTGTGGTAAACATAAACGAGGGTTCAGTTCAAGAACTGCAGTTTTCAACCTTTCTGGATGTCGCCGATAGAATATCGAATGCCTTCAGAAGTAAAAATCTTCAATGGAAGATGAAAGCGAATCTACTCTCGTCGCATAATCTGATTGTCTTGTATACGCAAAACCACGACAAAATCGAAATTGTCAATTTACAAAACATGTGTGCTTATTCGATAAGTTTACCGTGCAACATCGAATTGGTCTTGCTCGCGTCCAATAAAAAATGGTTAATCCAGGACGTGTCGAAGAACAAGTACGTTCTTACGAAATCCTCAGATTCTGATCCGTGCCCGAACGTGTTACGTGAATTGGATGAGTCTAATAGCGTCGATCTAAAGACTGGCAGTGTCTTAAATTGTGGCAACAGTAGTTTGTATAAAACGGAGTTGAGCAAAGCTCTTCAGCAGAAAATAGACTGTCCAAATAGACTCCTGGTGACAGACAATACCTACGCCGGTATAGTGACGGGATTCCCCGATTTAGATAGTTCTAACGAGTTACATTTCTGGCCAAGAAGAGGAAGAACGCGCAGCTTCATAACACCCATCATTACGCAGAATGGACAAGTGATCAGAACAATCTCGCCTAATCAAGTACCCGATGAGGTTTATCCAAAAGATACAAAGCATATGGGAATTTCCGGTTACTTGGAGATAGTCGACACAGTAAACCACAAGCTGCGATATATACCTATTCCAGAGTAAGTACATTTGCGACAAATACAAGGATTGTGTCATAAAAGATGAGAGCTGTAGTACTTTATTTATATTTTTAATAGCTTTGAAAAAATAATACTGTTATAAAATACTGTATACAGGATATATTCGTGAATTGATAATTCAATTGAGAATAAGATTCTATAATACATGAAAAAATACATTGAAAATGTAGAATAAAATTTTCTACGAGGCTTTATTTTCGATAAAATAGAAACAAAATCTTGTTACATTAATTGAAATTCAGGTAGAGTCAATTAGAAAGATACAAATTCGATGTTTATAGTTAAATCTATCAAACATTGAAATAATTAGATATTTAATTATGATAACCAGAATTCTGATTCATATGATCAGAATTTGTTTTGTTTGTACCTTTTTGTTGATATGATCAGAACATTTTTCCCAATACGATTTTAAATACATATTTGCCGGAAATACGGATTTTATTAATAAATTGGAAAACATGTTAGAGGAAGCGTTCATAGAAATTTACTTTGAAGAGAATTCTATCGAATACACATCATTTTTACAATTTATAAAATAATAATCATGCGTGAATATCTTATTGTGTATTCTCGATTATTTAATATAATAAACATGAATATGGACAGAAATAATATTGTAGTCTATAGCAAGATTTATTAAGTCGAGACGTAATATCTAGTGAATATTTAAAATCGATATTCTTAAAAATAAAGCCTCATATAAAAATATTTTATTCAACATTCCCGATTAATTTTTTTATGTATAACTATCTCCCTGTCGATTGTTTTGTACTACTAGTTTCCGAACATCATGTACATTTTTGCTATTATTGTGTGTATTTGTTCCGATAGAACAACTCTGAGAAAAATTATTAAATCTCTTTTACGCAGACCGGTTAATGTCTCGCCATTGACACAATGGCTGTATGCGAAGGATCTTCCGCTTTATGCGTCACTTACGTCGAACGAAGGTCTCGTCACAATAGACGCCGGTGGCTGCGTTCGTGTATGGGAAACATCCATCACGGATATAGAAAAGTCGTTAGGTGCGTGGCGTAAAATGATAGGAGCCGGCGAGGAAAACATGCAGATTACTAAAGAGAGGTATTCGGGGCAGGATGTCAGCGGGCCAAAACACGGAAAGGTCGATAAGAATAATGAACCACACGTGGGTGGCAACACTTGGGCTGGGGGAACCGGAGGTACGGGCATATTCAAATGAGATAATGAACAGGATAAAATCTAAAGGGAAATTACATATTGTTGCATTAAAGCAGTGATGCGCGATTTTTTTAAGTCATTTTCAGAGAGCTATTGTTAGAATCAGATAGAGTCTTGTGTATGATATTTATTTTCGCGATAAAATAGAAAATATGATTTTTTATATTTTTATTTTATGAGTCGGTGGACTGTACAAAATTTACAAGTAGGCCGCAGATTGTACATCACTGCTTTAAAATATTATTTTTTGTGTCTAATCATCAATTAATTATTACGACAGAATATACATGGAATTATATATATTTTAGGCAGAGATACGGCTGGTTTGGGCGGAAAAGGAGGTCCATATCGGTTGGACGCTGGACACACGGTACATCAACTGAGTGACGAGGAGAAGAATGCAGTACCCGAACATATAAAGAAAGCTGCTCGCGAGATGGGTCTTCGAGCATTCAAGCAGCGACTCAAGGACATAAAAATGAGCGAATACGACCACAAACTGTATTCTCAGTTCAGTGACGCGGTTCATAATCAAGTGCAGGCCTTGAGGGTCATATTAGGTGAGCGTCCTAAGCTTTAAATATGGCTTTTATGGAAATCGGTATTTCTTATTATGTGTCACACGCTTGTATACTATTTATAGGTACGCTGCAGGCGAAGAGCAACGAGCGGCAGTGGTGCAGGCATCAGACGTCGGGCGAGCTGGACGACACGAAATTAATCGAGGGATTAACGGGTGAGAAAACGATTTATCGGCGCAGGGCGGAGAAGGAACCGGAGATCGGCGCTCCGCAGTTGAAGCCGAAGCGATTAAAACTCGTCGCGGATGTATCCGGCAGTATGTACAGATTTAACGGTTACGATGGTCGGTTGGATCGCGAGTTGGAGGCCTGTGCCATGGTGATGGAGGCTTTCAGCGGGTACGAAGGTAAATTTCAATACGACATCGTTGGCCATTCCGGCGACGATTACCGTATTGTCTTTGTTGATCGCACACAACCGCCAACGGACAATAAACGAAGACTGGAGGTGATTAAGGTGAGTAGATTTATTTTTACCGTTTTTCTCATGGAAGGATAAGCCATGCGATTTAATTAACGAGCCATTATTTGTCTTCGCAGACGATGCACGCTCACTCGCAATTTTGCATGTCCGGCGATAATACATTACAGGCGACGCAGCACGCAATTGCGAGTCTGGCGAAAGAGGATTCTGACGAGTCTATCGTAGTTGTACTCTCGGATGCGAATCTAGATCGTTACGGGATTTCTCCTGAACGATTCGCAAAATTATTAACGTCTAATTCGGACGTAAATGCCTATGCTATTTTTATTGGATCTTTGGGTGATCAAGCAACAAGGTAGTTTAATAGATAAATAAAATTTTACCATTTTATTAATCATATCGATACTAAAATGTTTATATTATTTTTAGATTGATGAAGAAGATGCCTTCTGGTCGCGCATTTGTGTGCATGGATCTTAAAAATATACCACGAATTCTACAGCAGATATTTGCCGCTTCGGTTTTAAGTACGACACGATCAACTTAACGTGAATAATAATTAGTTGAATTTATATAGAAAAATGAGGAGCATTTCTTTACTTATAGTTATTAATAAAAGTTTACTTTTAATATATTTTCTAGGGATATATATTTTTATGTAGATAACACAATCACGTTTATACAATTGTTGTAATTTTTGTAAATAAAAATTTTTAGATATCTTTATAAAAATGTTTTAATGTGAAACAATATATATATTTCCGATAAGGGCTACGAGCCATAAATAAACAAGTAATGTTGAAATGTCTAAATTATAATAAAGTGACTTATATAAAATGTATAGCAATTTAACCGGTCAGACGTTTCGACTGTAATATATATGTAGTTTCAGTTTCTGAGAGAAATTAGGTATTATTAAAAAAGAATATAGTATTTGTATGTCTTCTCTTATCATATTGCATACTAAGATCTTTCCGGTTGTTAAACTAGGAGGCAAATTCACGCTTATATCATATGAAAGCAAGATATTGCTCTATGCGAGATCTCGCTAAGAAGTCAACGGTGACCTTTCACTCAGGGTAAACGCCCGGATTTGTTCGTGCGCCCACGCACATTTGGAGGGAAGAAACGTCAGCTATATAGTACAAGAGCGCGAGGGAGGTAGCGTGGACCAGCGCACATCACAACGGTCCACCAGAAGGGGGTATCATCCCCCGGAGAGCCGAGCACGACCGAGGTCGCGCGGAGAGGATCGAAGCTGGCCGCGCGCCCGCGCGATCCGCCGGATTGGCGATGGTGTGGGGCGGCTGATTGTCAGTCGCACGCCGGTCTTTGAATGGAGCGGGTGTGGAGACGCGTACAGGGTGCCGGTCGCCGCGGTGCCGCGGCCCGTTGCGGCTGCCCCGTGCAGCCGTGCCAGTTGCACGTGGACCAACGCGCAAAGCGCGGCGGCGGCGGCCGTAAATCCCGCAGCAGTTCCGGCGGTGGACCCCAGACCATCGTCTGTGGCTGCCAAGTGCAGCCGTGCCCAGTGCATCCAGTGCTAATCAGGGTTCGTCGTACGCGACCGGCTGGTGCTTCTGCCGCTGCCGCCGCCGCCGCCGCGGCCACCGTCAGCTGCGACTGTCCGCCGGAATCGCAGCCCTGTCCGCACGCACAGCGAGGATCAGCCTTGCGAAGGGTCAGAAGGTAAATTAATGCGACGACATAGTAGCGTCTATTATTTATTCCACCCTATACGATAAAGACCAGCTGGCTGTGTTGTCGCTGGGGTAGGTTGTGAAGATTGGGGTAGGTTGGTGCGATTCCAATTATTGCTGTCGCGTTGCATAGAATAGAAGAGGCTGCACCGCCTTATTCGGTCGATAGCACTTGTTGACCAATGACCTTCCGGTGATATACATAATAATATAATCGAAAAATTGTTGATACGTATAGGCATTGTGCCGTGATAAATTTTTCTGAAAAACTATTCTCGATAGTTCCTTTCGGAGTTTTGGGTCGCTTCATTCGATCGATAACAGCGGAAATAACGAGCAACAGTTACATCCATAGAGTGCTCCAATTTTATCATATACCTCTTTTTAACCATAGATTTTTTAATTCATGCTATTTCAATTCGTGAAGCTTTCATCGATGGTAATTTTTGGTGTAATTTGATGGCGACAGATGACGATCGATTACATGAAGCTTGACTGCGCTTTGAAAGATCGCAGTAAAAGGGGTGGAAGGTATAGTAGAGGTCAGAAGCTAATGTGCTGTTGACTTGTGCTAATCGTAAGCGGAGGCGGAAGCAAGTAGCGGGTATATGTATATAGTAGTAACCCACGGACCTACCAAGAAGATTCACTCAGTAGTCAAACTTACCCGAGGTTGACGCAGCTGTTCGTTTGTAGGGTAAACAAGGCGATTACCCCGTCTGCATGTGTATGGATAGAATTAATATGGGAGAACTTTCACGATGGCGAAACACGAAATGCAACGTTTGAAAGCATTTTCGTGTCGGTATAACGGAGGAAATTGTCTGTCTGAAGACGAAAATGCCAATTCGCGCAGTCCTTTTATCTCTTTTTTAGAACGCTGAGATATTGATTTGTAAAGTGCCACGTGCTACGACGAATTATACAGAGAATATTGTATATTTATTTCCATTTTGGGCTCATGAATATCATGAGTCCCCTTGTAGTTTCATTAAATTACGGAGTAAAATATTGTATGTATTATCTGTTGTACGTGCGCATTTATGGATATATTAACATGAATTTATCACGAATCGAGAAGGTGTTTTTCGCAATTATTGCAATTTATATACTTTACATACTATTAATTTATGTAAATAAATACGGGAAATTAAAATGTTTGTATTAGATACATAAATTTCTTGATAAAAAAGATGCATTAATGAAGAATCATGGGAAATTGGCAAGTGGGAAATTCAAAAAACAATTTATTAGAGGAGAGGCCCCTATTATGAGATACCGAGTTCATTTTGTGTAATTACTAAATGTTTATTGGTAGAATTAAAAAAAATAATAGGTTATTTTGAAGAGAATTTAATAAGCTTTAAGATAGTGTTATGTAAAATTTAATTCAAATTTTATTTTATTTTTTAATTAAAGCAATGTAAAAGGTGAACAAATCGCAAAGTCGAAAAATTGTGCTCCTATAGTATGAGATACCCCGAGAAATCGATAATAAAGCACAAAGTACATCAGTATTAGAATTAAAAAAACTTTATTTGATGTTTCTAACATATCAACGAGTACAGCCTATGCGCGTAAATTGAGTATGTGATGCATTGTATTCAGGATTTGTCTTCAGTAGTAATTGGAATGAAGTATTGCAGAAACAGACCCTCAATGTTCATTTCGGTTATTCTTTTTATTATTGTACAATAACATTTATACTTTAATATCGATTTTCTCTTGGGCACAGAAGTATAGATTATTTCATATTAGAAATATCCTGGGTATCTCATATTAGTATCACGTCTTACAGCTTTACGATCATCAAATCTAACTTCTTTAATTAAACAATTCAACATATTTTGTATTTTTCTATCAGTACGATCTTACTCTATTACTACATGAAGAATTTATTGCCAAATAATTACTTATTAAATAATAAACAAAGATTAAAGGCTTATTTCAATGAAACTTGAAAACGTTCAAACTCTAAAATTTTATTTTACAATTACTGTAGGCATGATCTAACAATGAATTTTCCACTAAACAGTTTTCAATCCAAGAGCAATAATTTCATGATAGAATCAACAGATAGCATTTATTAGTTTAGCAGAAACGCCGCTATCTCTTGTTAGCGCCTATCTCATAATAGGGGGCTTTCCTCTATTAAAAAAAAAAAATACGAAAAAATATATTAAATTATGAAATTATTAATGATGTCGATTTATTGGCCAGTCGCCAGAGGTTTTAAAAAGGAAGAAATTATTTACAGCAACAAAAAGCTCTCTTGTTATTTTTCGATATTTCTTCTCGTTTTTGAATTTTAATCGAAAAACCAAAAAGAAACTTTATTGTTAGTTACTTTCAAGTACCCCCCTTAATGTTGTAGTATAATACTTTTAAATTTAGTCTTTTTATACCTCAAACTGTCGATTAAAACAATAAAATACCTGTAAATAATTTCTTCCTTTTTCGTCGCCATTTTCATCTCTGACGATTAGTCTATTAATTTTAATTCATGATACAATTATCTGGATAATAAGAAATTCAATCGCGATATAGTCATATGCAAGTGGTCTGACCTGAGTCTTCTTTCTACCTTTCTTTGAGAGAGAGAGCGGTGTCCTTCCGTTTTACGATATCATTGTGCGAAATAAAATTTCCAATAGTCGATAGGACTTTCGCGGTTCAACTTGCGGCTGTCAAATATCTTAGGTGAAGTATGTCGCGACCGTTATGTGAAAATCAATGTTTTCCATTAATATCTAGACACTGCATAATTGCTTAAGTTATAGTATTTAAATCTCAGAAAAAGAAAGAAATCAATACGACGCGCAGACGCTTCGAAAGTAGCAACGTTTACAATTTGTATAGCTTGGAAGCAATTATATGTTTTAGTGCAATTTTTAATCTCTAAATTCAAAAGTAAAAAGTCTCAGAAATGAAAGGTAGAAAGTTCTTTTTTTGTTCTAATTTATCTACCTTAGCATTATTTATTGCTTTTCGCAAATTTTCGCCCTTTTCATACTCGTCAAGACTGTATCAGGTGCATAGTCTCTCTCTGCAAAAAGAGATTGACTAGAATCAGAAATTTATACTTTCCGTATAAAAATAAATGTTATATATAAATATATATGAAACACTTCAATAAAGTCAATACCTATATTTAATAATTTAATATATTTTTTGCTTATTTTATCTCAATTATCTTTTAAAAATATGTTATTTTTTTATTAGAATAATTTTTTACTTAGATTTTCTGAATCGACGTCAAATTTTTTTTTATATAACTTTGAAACGCGATATAGAAAAAAAATCTATATAACTTTTATTTGGTTAAAAAATAAGTACTTATAATACGCATTCTGAGCACATTTCTTAACTGTTACAGATGCGAGTGCGCGGATCGTTCTTGCCGGCACACAACATGCGGTGCCGGTACTCGTCGCCGAGTGATCGTACATTCCTCGTCTTCCCCCGTCTCCTCAACGCAGTTGCAGCTGCAACAGCAGCAGCAGCCGTGCGAGTGCGCCGACGAAAGATCAGGCTGCGCTCACACAAGCGGCGGCGAGGCGCCGTGTGAGTGCGAGTGTGGCGAGGAGGCGAAGCCGTGCTCGCACACGGTCAAAACGCGCCGTACACGCCGCACGTGCACTGACTGCAGCTGCAGCGGCACGCAGCCCTGCGGCCATAAGCCACAGCCTGAGGGCCGCATCAAGCGGGTTAAGTGCCGCGTGAGGCGTGCCGGCTGCGCAATGGCACGTTGCACCGCCGAGCTCGCGATGCTGCATTTGCACTGGGAGCTCGCCACCGAATGTGCGCCCTGCAGGCCGCGCGCGCTCACGCGACGGCTCTGCAGGAGACAACAGAGCGACAACGAACTCTACCGCAGTAACAGCTTCAAGTTCGAGCGCTTTGAGCGTACCAAGGACGAGTGCGTCACGCCGCTCCGCAAACAGGTAAGTGTCCGCTTTTGGTCTCGCTCGTAATTAGGATTGCGCATCGAGTATTGTTGGAATATCCTTAAATGAGATATTTCTCCGGTTCTTTTTTTACCGGATATGGTGAAAAAATAGAAATAATGCGAAGAAAATTTTCTTTCGAACTATTCTTTGAACTGTAGTATATTATATACATATATTACTTTTGAGATACGTATAATGTATACTATTATATACGTATATATAAAATATAACTATATATAACCGATTTCAAAGAACTATATGAATCAGTTAACGTATGAAGTACATCGTATTTATAGAGTTTTATAACAATATTATTAATACTATTAGCGCATTAATTATTATATATTATTAATACTCGTATTATATTAATGCTACAAATAACAAATTTTATTTAGATTTCTGTTTATAATTAAAATGTTTTTCTGCATTTAATTTGTTAATATATGAAAATGTATTTTCTAAATTGCATTCTGCAAGATAGAATTTATTTCTATAATTGTAATTAGCCATAGTAGTTGATGTAAGATAGAAGAGAGAAGAAACGATATTGTGAAGATTGTCTACGGTTTCGTTTAAATTATTATACTTTTTAAGAGAGGTATAAACTGTAACGAAGAATAAAGTAAAGATTCATACAATGACTCATATGAACATTATAACTTTGGTTTAGTTTCTTATGTATATTTCCTATTACAATAGTATTTTAAAGTCCAACAGCCTCTAGAGAATCAAAGAAAAGTCTTATACTCGACTTCATGTACAGGTGAGTTCTTCAAACTTTAATGGTATAAGAGACTTTGTTATGGAACAAAGAAATTGCTTTTTTCCAACGATGAAGTAATATTGTTTTATCTTATCTTTATCGCGATAGTATAAATAACATTAATTATATAATATAATATTTACGCTGTGAATAAATTATAATTATTTAAATATTATTTAAATTTAATATTTAAATTTTGTAAAACGTAATTCTGTCGGACGTATAAATCTATCTGAAAATTTTCACAACATTTTGGTACTAATAATACAAAAAGATCCGACATATATTTAATAAAAAGCAGTGAAAGGATTTGATTGGCCTGCTGCCAAAGTTTTAATTGCGTATGCCATGCACTGCACGTGCTATTCCATATCGGGTGAGATACTCTCAGTCAGGTACACATTCCTGAAAGGAATATTTAATTTGAAAAAATGCGAAGCTATAATTCCTAGTAAATGTGACGCTTTCCTCTGGAACTCGTTTTTATAGAACGAGAGACTTCTTTAATGGATTTCGCTGAATGGTAACGCAATGGAATTCCATTGCGATAATGAAATGGAAAGATTTAATATATAAGATAAGTCTGGAATTTATAATCTCTATTTTTTACGTCACATGTCGCGAATATTTTATGTTATCACTGTGAATCAAGTTATATATATATTATATTTGAGCTGAAGAAATTTAATAGACCACATCAAAAATAAGAACAGCGTTTGAAGATGCGAGTTGTTTCGAGTTTATAATTTATGATTTTAAAGACTCATTTAAATCCATTTATGGAGACGTTTACTCGATCATAAGTTGGAAACATGAGCTTTCATGTCTCTCCGAGATAGTTGCCTCTAAATGCAATTACTTTCAGTAGCAAAAGCAAACTTAGTTTATCCGATAATCGTGAATCCATCATCTAAAGACTACTGTGTATACAGGAATAATTATTTATAATTACATTTCTCGTGTCAAAACACTGCATAGGCATTTTTATTAATAAAATTAAAATCTACCGTACGTTTAATACTACAAAAGTAGTAAAAATCAACGATAGTCAGACACTCGAATGTCAACAGTGATACTAGCACAGAACAATTTCAATATTTTTAATATCTAAGAAATATATACATTGCCCTTTATTATTTTAATTGTTATATATACAATTTATTGTTATAAATTTTTTGTATTTTATAAATATAGTCATTATATAACTATGCATATATTTTATTATTAATTGAGATTAGATACAATTAATTACAAAAATTTCCTTATTGTTAGACTTTTGTAGACGCATTAGCGTATTTGGTAAATTAATTTTGCATATACATAAATTGTTCTTAGCAGAATGTTTGTTAATACTTAATATTTGAATAAGGTTTACTAGGCACATATATCATTATGTATGTATCGAAAATATGTGAGTATTTACCGCAAAATTTAACGATCGTATATTGTTATACAAAATGAACCAAAGATCCTATGGAAACGAAAATTATGCTTTACTGTTTAATAGTGTATGTGTATATGAGAGTATCCAACAGGAACTTACAGTAAATTTGTCGATACTTGAAAATTATTTTGAACATGTACGGTGCTAAGTAGCAAATGCATTTGTTTCAAAATTTATACGAAAAATATTTAATATTATAAGACTGCTTCCTGCAATTAATTGAATAATTATCGTGAACAATTTTGTTATATTTAGTAGAGTTTATAAATACGCTTGATTCAATTCTTGATTAATTTTTTCATAATTTATAGAACTTTACTATTTTCTGTCATTATTAATAAAGCATTAACTTGCGAGCTAAAACCTATGGTTTTATATTTTAGTAGCTGTTCCGATAAAATTCCAATAAAATCGAGTTGTCACGACGACTTACCCAAGGTCGCTTTGCTAGTCCAAAAGAAGAAATAAAAGGGAAGTTGTAAGATGTGTAAAAAGATGAAAAGGGAGAGAGAAAATGCAAAGGAAAGAGACAGCGCGATATGGAATTGATCGCGAATCAAGAGGGCTTCTTCCCGTCGAAGCTTCTTAAGAGTTTCGTGGAGACATTAAAAAAATATTTTTTTTTTATATTATATATACATATATATATATATATGTATATATTTCTATTTACTCGATTTAGGATGCAGATTTAATAAATAATTTGATTGAGATCACAACTCTGCGAATGAACGTTGAATTATCTAAAATATTTTTATAATGCAGAATTATTTGATTTTATTTCATATTTTAGTAATAAATATAATTTAAATCTAATTAACAAGTTGCTGTGTGTTCTCTTGTATTTTTTATACCCTTAATTGGTTTTTTAAACGGTTTTTTCCTTTTTCTTTTGTATTAAAGAGGACCTAAAAGCAAGGGTCGAAAAGTATATATTGTCTATTTGATAAATAAATTATATATACACACTTATATCCCGTATTGGCTCTTATAGGTACTAATTATTATATTTGATTTATTTTTTCGAGCCTTTTTTATTAATAATTATTATCATAAAGTTACATGCTGCGCAAAGGCATTGCTTTTGACACGATTGTAAATACTGCTTTGTGTACAGTTATGAGAGAGAATAATGCTTTTGTGTGGCTACTTCATAATGCTGTAATATTGTGGAAATTAACCCTGTAGAGCTAGGAGGTATATAAGCTCTGCAAACTGTACAAGTTTATGTATCTGCTCGGATAGTTAGGCTGTAGAGTATAGTATCCGTAGTATGTGTGTACTTATACATTATATATCTTATTTTGGCCAACCGACAGTAAATATACCGTATTTAGTATGCGGTTCTGAACCGTGAAGTTATTCGGGAATATTTATGCACGATACGGTGAGATCGCTTATAACATTTGTTACGTAACTGGAGCGGAAATTAGCCGTTTGTTTCTACGCGACAAATTAATTTCTGAGAGTTTAATGGTTGATGAAAGATTCATTATTATAATTATGCCAGCAAAATTGTAAAATTATGAAGTTTTTACACAAATAGCGAAGCTAAGTTCCGACATTTTATCGAGGATATTTTTTAAATACAGCAATTAAAATGTTTTCTGAAGAAGATTTATAATAGAGTAACTTCATAATAGAGGTTCATACTTAATAATATAATAATAATTTCCGTCGGAAATGAACAACTATTAGGCCCTTTTATTGTCATGAAACAAGATCTGAGAGCAACTTAGGAGCTATCATACTCGGAAAAACGGTAAAAGCAGAAATGAAATTTCATTAGCAATGTAAATACAGCGACAGAATAGAATTCGGGATGAATTCGATTCCTCCCGCGCTCGCGTTTTCTCTTGTCGAGTACCATCTGCTTCATTGCAGCTGCAGCTTATCTTGTTTTTATTTGAAAAGTTTCTAACATTTACTATTATATTAGTTATTTCCTAGAAAAACAAGCAAATATGATAAGTTCTATATTTTTATCGTACTGTTTTCCTTCTCATGTAGCTTCTTCTTTCGTTCTCGATTATTTTTTCTTCAGTCATAAATCTTGAAGGTGTGTTCGAATCTGATTGTTCGAAAAAAGTCACGTATCATTTTTTTCCACATAAAATTATCAGATAATATTATAAGGAAAGAATCATAAAGGAAAACTATTTACGGAGCTACTAATAACATAATTAACAAATATCTTTCATTTAAAATCTATTTTATCAAAAAAATAGAGATGCCGCTACGATTATGACTGTCAATTATCATAAAAACGTGAGCATCGACCGCTTCCGCTCTGCCAAGTATTACCGGAAATAAAAGCAACACGTGAGCCCCGCGCGGTCATGGTGTATTGATTTCACGACAGAGCCAAGCCGAGTTCTATCCGACCTCTTGCACTAACCAATAGACATAGCTCTATATCAAAGTCTCCCTGGATTTTGATTCGTGATAGATAAAATGAACGGCACTTGTCGCGCGATAATTCATCGCTGCAGCCTTTTCGGACAGACTAAATTCATGAGTGTTTTCTTACGGAAAGAATTAATTTATTTCGTCGAAAATGTGTACAGAATTTTGAGGGCACTTATTATGTACAACCCTATGTCACACCGTTATTGGCTTTTACATAAAAAAAAAAAACATCTTTCTTTTCCGAATTTTAAGAACCGATAATTACAAAATTATACTAACGAAGACGATAGTATGAATCATTGATGGATGCAAAATTTAGATTAGTTCAGACTGCTTTAGACTTAATCCAATCCAGGTAAGCGACGACGCTTGTGTATACAGTGGGATAGGTGGTACTGGCGCAACCATTCGCCCAGGATACCAATCCAATGAGTTTTCCTTCAATAGTCAATGGGCCACCAGAGTCACCCTGGAAGTAGCAAAATGTCTTTTAAAATTTAATTTAATTTTGAATTAAACTTAAATAGAACAACAATGTAAAGAGGCAAATGAGAGTCAAAAGTAAAAACGAGAGATATCATCTTAACGTTAATATATTCATATGAAATTTTAAACACGCTACATTAATATAATATATATAAACGAAATAATCGAGAAATTAATCGAATTTTACATGTCTCGGCTTTCCATTCTATAATTAAATTTAAATAAAATTAGTTCTGATTCAAATTTAATGTTTGGATGTTGTTTTGTGTATTTTCTTTATCACAAGTTTGAATATTTTCTTTCATTTTTAAGAAATCATAATTAAAATATTACTGTGTGAATATGATAAATAGAGAAACTGATATTATATAATAAGAGTTGAAATCTTAAGAAAAACTTACGTGACATGATCCTTTTTCGATTGATGCATCATATGCGCAAACCTGCGTGGCATAAATGTTGTAACTTATTTGATTGTACATATATCGGCAGTAGGCACGATCAGCGATGAAGATATTGACTCGTTGTAGTTTAACAGTGGTTGGTCCTCCTTGCTGCAATTTCATAACAATTTATACAATTGCTATCTTTGAAGTAACATTAATTTTTTTCTTATTCTTTTTATACTAGATATTACAATTTTGTATTCTAAATCTCAAAATGGTAGAATAATTCAGGGTTGCCACAAGTTAGGGAAATCAGGGAAGTCAGGGAAGTCAGGGAAATGACAGGGATTTAGCACACTTGTCAGGGAAAATGTTATATTTGTAGCTGTACATTGCTTGGCTTTGCGCTTTGCCATGATTTTTTTTGATAACCTTTTTTTCTTTTTGGAAGTCGATTCCTGAAAGAAACCTGCATGTACAATTACTGGGAAGACCGAGGAACATTGCAAAGTGTGTATGAATCATTCTAGGTCAGGGAAGAGTCTCAAAATTTTGTCAGTAAATCAGGGGAATGTCAGGGAATTTTACGATTGCAAATTTGTGGCAACTCTGAATAATGAAATATAAATAATCATTATATTTCTCTGTATTTAAACATGAAAATTACAGGTATACAGTTAATTATATAGAAAAACGAGAAAAGCTCACCCAGAGTCTGCCCCATCCCGACACAATGGCTATATCATTGGTTTTAATCTCATAACCTTTTGGTGGCAAAGGAACATGCCCGACGGTTGTAGATATTACGAAAGGAGTTTCGACCTAAAAAACAGTTTTTGCTTGAGATTTATAATTTTTAATTAGAATAAATATTTATAAGGGTCCTAATTTTTCATGTGAGAGAAAGAAATTTACCTGCAATAAAGCTATATCGTTAATCCAAGAATTAAGAGAATCATATTCTTCGTGTACAATAATTTTTACAACGTTATGCTCTGATTTTGGGTGAATTAAGTTGAGAGTGCCAACAATAACTTTTACGCTACTGGGTGATTCTATTCTATAACAAAATTTAAATGTTCACTTTTTATCTAAATATACATATAGGTATGTAGTAAACGTGTACATTTCTCATACATTTCTGACATCAACAAATTGGGTATGTTAAGTTAGCACCTCAACTATAGTACTCAGGAGTTCTGATTAGAGTTCCCACTTCTTTTTGACGAGACGAAGAGTTCCCTATAGTTAATAACAAGAGTTCCGCTCAATAAACATTTTTTTTACCTTTCTTAAAAATGGGGTGCTAACTTTTTATCGAATTTCGAGGTGGAATAGTTCTGAGCGGGTCAATAACTTCAATTTGCGATTACCTAGAGTTCTCCTGATATGTAAAAAAAATTTTCGAATATTAAAAAAAAATTAAAAATTTTTGAAAAATTAATTTTTCGATACAATAGTTCTGATGATAATTCCTGCTTCTTTTTGACAATACGAAGAGTTCTCTATGATTTTTAATGATATATGCGCTTAATAATCATTTTTTAATAATTTTTTAAAAATGGGGTGCTAACTTTTTAATGAAATTCAAGGTCGCATAGTTCTGATCAGCTTAACAGAACTATTTTGTGAATACCTAGAGTTCTTGATACATAAAAAACATTTTTGAAATATAATAAAGTTTAAAAAAAATAGTGGAAATCTTTGAAAATTTTTTTGAAAGTACCGAATAGTTCTGAGCAGCGTTTCTTATAGTACTCGACGAGTTCTATCGAAAACTGTAAGGTGAAAAAGCGATTGGACCAACGGTTTGCAAGATACAGCAACATTTGTCGGAAGATCAACAATTTTTAGAGTGAGTATATCTCGGCAACCGTTGGTTCAATCGCTTTGAGCCCTCATACTTTTCGACAGAACTCGCTGAGAACTGTCTATAACTCCGATCAGAACTACTCGGTACTCTCAAAAAAATTTTTAAAGGTTTCTACTATTTTTTTTAAACTTTATTATTCTTCAAAAACGTTTTTTAAGTATCGAGAACTCTAGGTATTCACAAAATACTTCTGTTAAGCTGATCAGAACTATGCGATCTTGAATTTCGTTAAAAAGCCCCCCATTTTTAAGAAATTATTAAAAAATGATTATTAAGCGCATATGTCATTAAAAATCATAGAGAACTCTTCGTATCGTCAAAAAGAAGCAGAAATTATCATGAGAACTATTGTATCTAAAAATTAATTTTTCAAAAATTTTTAATTTTTTTTTTAATATTCGAAAATTTTTTTTACATATCAGGAACTCTAGGCAGTTGCAAATTGAAGCTATTAACCCGCTTAGAACTATTCCACTTCGAAATTCAATAAAAAGTTAGCACCCCATTTTTAAAAAATGTAAAAAAATTGTTTATTGAGCGGAACTCTTGTTATTAACTGTAAGGAACTCTTCGTCTCGTCAAAAGGAAGTGGGAACTCTAATCAGAACTCCTGAGTACTATAGTTGGGGTGCTAACTTAACATACCCCAACAAATTAATATTTATGTGAAAAAATTTATACTAATAAGTTTAATTAGCGAGATATGCAATTATTTTATTAAAAAATTAATATTAATAAAATTACGCCACAGCGCAGTGAGCTGCCGTGATGACATAATTATTGTTCAGGATTGAGCCGCCACAAAAATGGAAGGAAGAATCTTTGTATTGAAGAGAAACCTGTGGAAAAATTATATTAATAGCATTCTAATATTTGTATTGTAGTAACATTTTCATATATTTGCTTTTAATCAATAATGTCATTGAAATATAGTCACATTTTGACTGTCACAATATGCTGAAATAATGAATTATAACAAATCTTAATCAAGGAAAATAAAAGATTAAAAAAAAATAAATTTCTGTTTTCTAAAAATGAATTACACACACACACAAAAGTATTTAAATACTTTGATATTATACATATACATACAAAATGCGTGATTAGTTATCGAACTGAGGCCATTCAAAGATTCAAAAAAGATCGAAAAAATATTTATTAATACATTTATTAACATCATCATTCAATATATTTATCGTTTTTAAATATAACATTTACATCACTTAAACTCGTACAATGAATCGAATGTGAGAATACTTCTTCCCGAATTGTCTTCAGTTCTCTTGTCAAAATTTGATAGATATATTGAGATATTCTCAAATCTTGTCTTTTTTTATTACAATTTCTAATTTAGAAAATAAAAAACTTGGCGAGGTGTTAAATTCGGAGTCGGATTAAGGTTTTTGCCGCCCCTAGGCAGTGAAGTTCTTGCCGTCCCCTAAACTTGCTACCCCTAAACAATAGCCTAGGTTAGCCTCTAATGCTAATATGGCACTGGAGCTATAATAGAAGCATATTGAAGCATGCGACGCGAACAAACCTCTAGTGATCGATGGAAAATTTTCTCAATCATTCGCGTGACAAAAAATCATTTCTTTTTTATAACCTCTTTTCAAAAAATTTGCTACCCCTAGACTATAGTCTAGATTAAGTTCTAGTGCTAATATAGCACTGGTTAAATCAAGCGTTAAGCTTGAATTTAAGGAAAACGGATCCCGATTTATGCGCATTTTTTAAATATTGTTTTTTTAACGAAATGAAGGATTTTCGTGTTAACTAATACTCGCCTGATTTAACACGTTGACTGCCAACTACGAGATAACTCGTAGATTGCGTTCTTTTCTAGGACGCCAACTACGAGTTATCTCGTCCTGTGTTAATATAAATAATATAATGTGATTAAATCAAATTGTCATTTTAGGCCAGATTTCTGAAAATTGCCGTGGCAGTCAACGTGTTAATGTTGACTTTTTTCGTATATTAAAAATTGCAATGAGATTCGAAGCTGTGTCATCTAATTGTAATGAGAAAAAAGGCAAATCAGGAGTTTTTTCTTGGATATTTGGCTTGTTGCATGAGCAATGAGAAAATGTTTGGAAGCAAACGAAGGCTATATTGTATAATTTAATTTAGGCTATATTAATTATTGGCTGATGTTAATAAATTTGAGATATTAATTAACTTTGAGATATTAATAAACTTGTGAGTTTTTTGTGGTCTCAATCTGGGAACTTAATTGTTCTATACGCATATGCATATATACACGTATATATACATATACATATTTTATACATATTAGTATCTATTTTTATAATAAATGTAATATGTCTTATTAATTTGTGTACTTGATGTGGAATCTCGCCTGCTTTAGCATCTTTTCCATTTACGATCCTGGGATCAAAGAGTGGCAAGATCCCAGCTGCAATATAATGCATGATAAATCATAATTATTATTTATAAAATGAAACTAAAAGAATTAAAAACGCGAGGTTTATTAAGATTTGAATTATAGTAAGTAAGTCTGTGTATTTTTAATAGCAAATTTTGGATTCTTTGAGTTCGCAAATTTCCAGCCAAATGTTTCATTTAAGATTATAAAAAGATCATTTTGCGACTATCATGTTTCTATTGATATTTAATGATCGAATTGATAGACAGATAAAAAAATTACTTATTTGAATAACACGACATAGCGTTTTTTCTTCAACGTATTCCTAAGGAAATTACGTTAACTTGTATTCACTTAAATGAATGATTATTGATTAACTTGGAAGAATCATTATTTACCTTGAGAGAACGCCAGAAGGCTGAGGAGACACAAAATTCTTAACGCCATGTTAAGCACTGTTCGAAGCCTGATTTGAAATCGCGTGGAAGCGAATTTATATGTAGTACTGATTTTTAATTGCGTTTGCCCCACTTTCGTATAAATAGTCCAATGACCGACATGATTTCTCAAGAAATCCAGATTAGATAAATTAATTATAAAGTAGTATATCGAAGATTTGTTGATATTGCAACGATCAATCATTTTGATAAGCACTTGATGTTGTATATCACACTGCAATTTCATTCAAAATGTTTTCTCAAATGTATAACGTATTTAATATTTCATGTAGGTATGTATTGGACGACATCATTTTGTCTCTCTTTGTTAAACATATTAATGTTAACGATTTAAATAACTCTCTTAGTCAGTCGCATTTGTAATTTTTTGTAAATGTAAAAAATTTTTTGATACACAATTTTTTTGTTCAAAATACATCTAGCAATGCAGCTGTTAAGATTAGATATGAGCTTTAGCATATTTGATTTAAACTAAACATAATTTGTAATGTAATATTAAGAAGATATTATGATTATAATGTCTTATTTTTAATTATATTATCTTTCTTATCGCTCGATCAAAGCAATAATCGCTCCGCACACTTCTGTCTTGCTGTCTGGATAAGGATTTGGATTTTTCTGAATTTCTTAATCTCGCTCGATAAATTTTTTTCTCTTCCAGCAAAATCGTTCTTTCCGTGCACAATTCTTCGGTAAATATGATAATAGGATCATTACAACTTATTGAATCGATTCTTTTAATTTTTGCAGAAATAATCCACTGATTTATTTATTGCTAACTTATTCGTAAACAATTTACATACGTCTATATTGAAATGACTCAACTGTTATAATTTTGTTATTTTTAAAATTTTCTTTATTTTTAAGGAAAACAGTTTTTTTTTTTTTAATCAAAATGTGTTACGCAATGTTGTATTAAATTATACACAAAGAAAACTTTACAAGAGTTTGACAATAACTTTTACATTAGCATAATTGCATTAAGAAAAAAATTATCTTGGAAATTGATATTGCGAGATAATAATTTTGTCGAAAACAGTAAGTTACGCCGCATTAAAAACTTTAATAGCCTTCTATTAAAAGTTTCACTCGCAGAATTATTTTCAATAGGAAATTTCATGAGAGATGAAGTTTTGGTTATCCTTAATCTGTAACTTGCGAATTTTTTTCAAACAATTATGACGGACCGTCGAACGGATAAGTAGAACGTAATCGATCGCAGGTTCAGCTAGGATGGATGCGGGCTGTCAGAGTTTCAGGATTCATCTGCGACCAACGACCTTTCGCCCTGACCGTGTAATCGATCCAATAGATGATCAAAGCATCACCGGTCGGGATCACTGATAACTTTGCGTGCACGAACTTTCAATGGTGTTCGCCTTTACTAAACTTTCTAGTAGCACATGGGAGCTTGAAATAAATTTACAACTTATATATGAAATTAGTTAATTCTCAACTGAATTAATTCGTAGCAATGAACCGTTCGTGGAATTTGTAATCGTTTTATTTTATTATCAGATTATTTGTTTTACTGCGGAAAGAAGATATCATAGAAACAAAAAATTTAATTAAAAATGTGGTATTTAAATTTTATAGCTGTTTACATTTTAATTCTCACATAATATCTTCATTGTTGGATTATGAATGTTTATTTTTGTTTTGTGAAACCTGTACGCAGTAGAGAGTGGCGACAATATCAGCTTTTAGTAATGTATTTATCGAAATATTTATGACAACTTACTATTTAGATATAAGTTCAACCATGATAATGGTAACTTTACCGCCCGACGAAAATATTTGGTGCGATAAATGTTCCAAATAATTCTCTTCGCAATATGCGCGTGTTGAAAATATATCATTAAAACTGTAAATGTCTTAATTATATATAATTTAGAGATAACAAGTATTGTTTAGTTAGATTATCTTATCAATTCATTTGCTATTTAGTGTTTTATGAAAGTTGTTTACTAACAGAAGCGCCATGATGAATGTTCTCGTTTTAATGGCGAGCGTGTAAAATGGGATAAACGGAACAGAAAAATTTATATCATTGCGCGCTGCAGAGTATTTTTAAGCTTTGCATACAAATCTCCATTGCGCAAATTCACTCGTTGAACGTGCATTATGAGCGCATATTGTTTGCACAGGAAAATCTATTTTTTTACGTCGGTAAAGTTTGCTGTCGCATGTTTTATTCAGGAGTCCCGTTTGGAATATCGGTTGTTGCAAAACTGCAAATAGAATAAAAGGTTCAAAGGTTGTCCGGGAACAACGGGTGCTTCTCGCGCGAGCGCTCGTGAGAATCCGAGAACACGATTTTCCGTCCACACGTAAAATTGGCAAGATTTTCAAACAAAGCGAGCGCTTATAAAGAGAGGAAGGATTTATGAGAGGAGAGAGAGGTATAAAAGTGTGCGTATTTTTTACGGGCTATTATTTACGTGGAGAGAAGCGTGTATAATTTGTATTATATATGATACCACGATTATCATTAACTGTCATTTTTTTAAAATCGTATTTACGCTTTATGTAGCGTGCATACACTGTATATACTTGTAATGTTATGTGTTTCATATCTTCTTATTAATAATTGTTATCTACGAATATGTTTCTGAATAGATTTCTGTATGAATAAATTAATAGGATGAATTTTGTATCCTACAAATTGTTTAAAAATTATTTATTTAGAGATTTTAATGTGCCATTCAACATTATTAAGATTATTCTAAGATGCGTAAGAGCATCAAATTGTTAAATTGCTAGTCAATTTAACTCGTGATATTACTGCGGTAGTTTAGTAGAATTTGCGTTTCAAGACTAAAAAGTTATTTCGGCGTGCAGTTGAAAAGGACTACATACGTAGTATGTAAATTTATACAGAAGTATTTAAGATCCAACTGGATTTAAGGAATTTATTTAATTCCTATAAGTTGTAAACATTTATTTTTACAATTAACTTTATTTCAACATTTAATTCTTGAATAGATTTTTGTAGATAAATTAATTTAATAAATTTTATATCTTAAAAAAATTATTTATTTTTATAATTAATTTTATTTTAATATTTAATTTTATTTATTTGTCTATCCTGAAGTATTATTTCAATATAGCTCGTTGTTGCAAATCTACGCGTGACTTAAATGAGGTCAGTGATAGTGATTTCATTGTAGCTGTGTGATGGAGTAAGTACACTTATCAAAGCGAGGATACGCGTCAGAGTCACGACGTTATTTCGCGATTTTCTTAACAATTGCTCGATTTATTGAGGTACGTTGAACTTCAACAATGCTCTTGCTAAAGTGATCGTCAGAAACGGTTGAACGAGCGCGCTTCTCCTCTCCTGCTCATCCTCGGAAAAATAAGCAGCTACATTTTATGACGCTATGCGCATGACTCGCTGCGATAAAAGAGCATCGATTGCCAGTTTGCGCAGAGTAGAATATCAAATCCGTCTGTATGTGAATATCGACGTCGCTTTTTAACACTCAGCCTCGTATATAGTGTCATTCGTACGAATTTGATACGAAGCGCGTGTGCTCCCTTTCTTTCCATTTGTTCCATTCTCAATGGGGAACGATGCCTGAGATCGATTTGTTTTTTACAGAAAGAAACTTCATTTTTTAGAGAAAATAAAATAACTATTATATAACGCTTCTTATAGTTATGATAATTTTAAGTGATGGTAATGAAAGCAACCAAATTACTTTTGTATATTGAAATAAAGATTTTGCTGAAATATTTAAAATTTTAATTAGATACAAATATAAAAATAATTTTGCTACTTTATCAAAATAATTACGTAGTACATTCAAACTGGTTGCTAAAACGTTAAAATATTTTATTCACACGTCATGCTTGAAATTATGAATAGTAAAAAATTGTTTTGATAGATATATAAAATTATGTTCAGATTTGTATCTAGCTAAATTTACAAAAACGTTAACAAAATTTCCGTCTTCAGTATGAAAATGTACCTATATATAACGCGATTTGATTTTTCAAAAATTAATAATGTTTTATAAATATTTACTACACATAAATATTTGCAAATAATTTATTGAAACTGCAACATTTATTTAAATTTTTCATAATTTAATTAAAATTGTAAATTTTTTATTTGGTCAATATATCGATAGCATTCTCATTAATCAATATACCACATTGTTTAAAACTACATAGAGAAATGTTATTGGTTTGTTGAAATTGCTAACGGCAGAAATACAGAGTTATACATGAGTTACATCGCCTTGTTCGGAATGATAATTGAATTTGTTGATTTGATCAATATAGAAGCGATCGATGAATTTATTAGCGTTTGCCGCAACTGCACGACGTATATTTGTTGAACTAATAAAATGTTAATCTCGACGCAGTGACGCGCGTAAATAGAAGATCGTTTCAGATCAACAAGTATTTTCTCGTGCATAAACAGCATTGGCAGATTTCACACGTTTGTACCCAGTGTATCATAAACAGTTTATGTCAACAGTGAACGTGTTACCGTGATAATATTGAAGTTCTCTCTTACGTCCGTGCGCATCAGAGGCGTATTACTGAATAAATAAACACTTCTTATATCCACGTGAAAATATTACGAAACGTTAATCGCAGCACCCCCGTAATGTCGCGTAACGCCTCTGTAATTAGTCAAGTGCAAATTACGGCTGGCGCGTTCATGGTAAGTTAGCAGCGCTACAGGGATAAGTTAATTATCGTCAAGGCGGCGGAGTAGATTATATGAATAGTCATGATCGTGTGTGCAGCAACTAATTATAGACAGAATACGGCTGTGAAATATGTGACGTTACCTAATGGCTCTACCGACGACTTTGTTTAATGATGTTACTTAGCATGCTATTCACTCTGTAACTCTAATTTTCTTTATGACCTGATTTAATTCCGCTAGATGAATGCAAAACGCAAGGTAATCTGGACGACTTGTCGTTTGTACTTAGCTTAGCCAACCATTTGAATTAAAGGTGCATTTATTTTTATAAAAAGGTGATGTTTT